TTTGTCATTACCTAAAATGCTTTACATTAGCTTTATGGTTCTCAGAAATCACTAAACCCACAAAAAAATTCTGTCTGCACTGCAAAATATTCACTGTGCTATTTATGTCTGGCAGTTTAACCTCTTCCACTGCCAGGCAACAAATAACACCGGTATTTACTGAGTAAATACCAGGTACACGGCATTGTTATAGGCATTGAGGTGTTACAAAGGAGAGATTAGATGTGGTCCCTTGACTTCTGGTTTCTGAGATCTAACCAGAAAAATAAGACAACTTAACAGTGAGATTAATATAGATGTGGAGGAAGCATCAACTAGAAAAAACGCATAACAATTTTTATAATTAACATAGGCTTTCACAAAGCCAAATTTAGAAAGAAAACATTTTATTAATTTTTTGATGTTCTTGTTAGCTTTGTTCACATTAACCATGATTTCATTAAACTTTTATTTTCATATGTGCTTTAAGTTTAACTATGCCATATTCATTAAGTTTTTAAGAGGAGCTGATGAGACCAAGGTAAAATGGCTGGAAAAAAATTGGATACCATAAATTTTCTTTCAAGGAAAGAATCCTTTCAATGATAGCACTTATGTTTTGAATTATATATAAAACGTCATAATCTTTGCATTACAATAATTTCATTTAATTATGCAACAGGAACATTTCTTAGAGATATGCAGATCGTATGATACCCACTTTGTATAAAAAGAAAATGTATTCCTGGTCATGCGACTTCCCCCAAATCTCACCATGAGTCAGAAGAGCAGAGAGCAAGTCTCCCGTTAGTCCTTTGCTGTGCCCACTCCACGCTGTGTTCCCTGATTTTAACACCTGACCACCTCAGTCTCTTCCATAGCTGATCATAGTTATGTCTTCTATGGTTTGGGAAAATAGCTTTGCTTCCACACGTTCGTGTTTTCCGAAAGGACACTGACATTCATCACAGAACTTCAGAGCTGGAAGGGGTCCCTGAGATGTAGTGCAACAGTCTCATTTCCCCATAGACGAAGAATCTGAGGCCTGGAGTGGTTACGAAGCCCCAGGAGAGGCACAAAGGTGAACAACAGTGTCCAAATGGATCCATGAGGAAAGGGTAAAGGCACTGAAATTGTTCCCTCCAGATGGCTAATTTAATAATGGCTTTTGAATAGTAGAAGAACTACAGTGCAAGACGAGGAACTTGTCTTGTATCTGTTCCAAAAAACAAAACAAGTTTTGATTTTAGTTAGCAAAAAGAATAATACTAAACATAAGAAAGAATTTTCTGGCAAAGAAGATGATTAAAAACTGAGACGGGAAAGCTAGAGAGAGTCTTTTTCTTTCTTCTTGAGATATAATTCACGTACCATACAATTCACCCATTTAAAGTGTACAATTCAATAGTTTGTAGTATGTTCGTAGTTGTGCCACCAGAAAAACACAAGCCATCTTAGCTTGTTTTCATTGAGTAAGAAAGAAAAACCCACACCCATTAGCTATCATGCCTCCCCACTCCTAAGCACCCGCTAAACTGCTTTCTGCCTCTATAGATTTGCCTATTTGGAATATTTCACACAAATGAAATCATATAATATGTGATCTTTTGTGACTGCCTTCTGTCTCTTAGTATACTGCTTTTAAAGTCCATCCAGTGTCATAGCATGTATCAGTAGTTCATTGCTTTATATTGCTGAATAATAGTCCCTTGTACAGACATGTGATATTTTATTTATCCATTCATTAGTTGATGGACATTCAGGTTGCTTCCACTTTTTGGCTCTGATGAATAATGCTGCTACGAACATTCGTGTATATGTTTTTGTGTAAACATGTTTTCTTTTCTCTTGGGTGAAAAGGAGTGAAATTGCTGGGTCAAATGGTCACCCTGTCTAACTTTTCAAGGAACTGCCAGCCCATTTTCCAAACTGGATGTACCACTTTACATCCCCACCAGCAGTGTAAGAAGATTCCAACTTTTCCACATTCTCCCCAACATTGTTATGATGACTTTGTGATGATAGCCAGTTCAGGGGGTAGTAAGTAGTATCTCACCGTGGCTCTGATCTGCATTCCCCCAATGGCTAACGCGGAGCGTCTTTTTATGTGCTTATTGCACATCTTCTCTGGAGAAATGCCTATTGAGATCCTTTGCCCATGAAAAACTTCTTTATAAAAGGTCAAGTGTAGACTCAATTCTTATTCTCTGGGTTGCTTCAAATCTAGTCCCCTATTATATAAATTATATGGGTCCTAATTGTACAAATTAGAATTCTTCTGGTCCTTTCCGGTTCAATGAATCTAGGGTTTAAAAGAATTTTCATATCCGAAGTTTGATTTTTATAGAATGGAAACTGAAGGCAAAATGCTACAAATGTCCCCACTTCCCGTAGAGATGAACTTTTGAGTAGAGGTTCTGAGGAGATGCATTTCCGGAACATCCTTTGTTTGAGGGGCAAGTCCTGAGGAACAGGCTGTCCACGCTCATGCAAAAAATGGAGCCAGTGGGGCAAATGGGCTGCGTTTCCTGGGAGACTTCGAAATGATTGCGTGAAAAAATAAACCCAGCTTTTGTCTGAATGACAACATTCTGGGATGGTTAATCTTCAACCTAGCTAAAAGGATGTATCTGAGTTGCTTCAGCAAACATATGATGGTAGCATGAAAATATGCATCCCAAGAAAAGCAATTAAACTGAGTCTCTGTGCACACACAAAGGGCATGGCCTCCAGTGGGGAAAACCAGTACTTTGCTTTCGGGCCTTTCCCTTCATCTCTATAATGAGCGATTCCGTTGCTTCCTTTAAATGTGAGCATTCAAAAAATATTTTTAAGGTATATTTTTAAAGTCTGCATGCTCAACATTCCCAAAACTAAGACTAATCATGGTAGGAAGGTCGGAAGGGAGGAAGTATGTACCTGTTTGTGCATGGGTACATGTCATAGTAAGGTTTGGGAGTTAGAGTGAAAAGTTATGACTACTTCACAGGCAGCTGAAGACACACAATTGGTCATGTGAATACAACATGAGCTCATCGAATATTTTTTTTAAGAATTAAGGAAAGGCATCTTTCTTTCTTTCTTTCTTTCTTTCTTTCTTTCTTTCTTTCTTTCTTTCTTTCTTTCTTTCTTTTTTAACAAAAAGCCATTTACATCATCCATCACTAACCTTTAGTCTCACCACCACCCTGAAGAGTAGAATTCCAGGGCATGCTGTGAAAACTGTATGAACAACTGGAAGAATCCACAACTACTGTTACTTGAAGAAGGACAACATGTCTAAATGATCAGGCCGGGCGCGGTGGCTCACGCCTGTAATCCTAGCCCTCTGGGAGGCCCAGGCAGGCGGATTGCTCGAGGCCAGGAGTTCGAAACTAGCCTGAGCAAGAGCGAGACCCTGTCTCTACTATAAATAGAAAGAAATTAATTGGCCAACTAATAGTTATAGAAAAAATTAGCCAGGCATGGTGGCACATACCTGTAGTCCCAGCTACTCGGGAGGCTGAGGCAGAAGGATTGCTTGAGCCCAGGAAATTGAGGTTGCTGTGAGCTAGGCTGATGCCATGGCACTCACTCTAGCCTGGGCAACAAAGCGAGACACTGTCTCAAAAAATAAATAAATAAATGATCACTAGAGGGTGGACATTTTGAAAGAGAGGAAAAAGAAGAGACCATGGGGTTCTCTGGGTATCGCAGCTGAACTACAGCTGGACACAGTGCAATAAACCACAAAGCAACAAGCCCTCAATGCAAATTATGCACCACAATGCTCTCAATACCTGATGGTCTAGCCTTTCTTTATCCACTACAGTGCTTCCTGGTCAGCATTCTCCCGCTTGCTGTTCCTGGTAATGATGAAATCAATATATATGACCCTAAACCCAGTCTTTGGGGTAGGTTTGAAATGCCTGAGGATCAACCCAGGCAGCCAAGGTCTGTCAGCACCTTCCAGAAAACTAAGCCACTGGTCAATATCATGGGATCTGGAGGAACCTCTGGGATTTGTTGGTTTAAAATGTTCTTAATACAGTTCATAGTCACCTTATAACCATTCAACCTTTCATTTTGAACTTGCAAAATTCTGGTTTTGGACTCTAGGTAGGAGCCTTGAACAAAATGCCAGGACACCTGCCCACAAGCCAAAATGTTGGAACAAGTGCCATATGATCTGAGTGAGGACAAAGAACAAGGAATTGTGCTGAAGAACTTTCAGGATAAACAGAGGGACCCTGAAAGTGCTTAGATATCATGTTATCAAGGAAAAAATGTGACCCAGAGAAAGGAGGCTGCATATGTCTTCTGAAACACTTTAAAAATCAAAAACACGCAGTTTAGCTTTAATTAATGCTCTGAATTAATAAACGAAATAACAAAATACTAAATGTAGCAAAACTAAGGCATCAAGGACCAGGAGAATATAAGCTAAAATTGATGTTAATCAGCCATATAAGAATTTATTGCACCTTATAAATTGTACAAGTATTATGTGTCAACCAAAATAAAATAATTTTTTTGTTTGTTTGTATACAGGGTCTTGTTGTGTTGCCCAGGCCAGTGTCAAACTCCTGGCCTTGAGCAATCCCCCTTCCAAAGCGCTGGCCTTACAGGCATGAGTCACCACACCCAGCTGAGAATTTAATTATAAGCCAAATTGCCATAAACTTATTTAATATGAAATTTCCTGTTGCTTCTGTACAAAGTTTTCTTTGTCTATTTGGGAGATCAATTTCTCTTTTCAGCTGAGTTGTGAATAGAATCAAAATTCACAGGTAAAGAAACTACTCATATAATTTCAAAATTAAGTTGATGACAGATTTGTACCCAGTCTGAGTAGCCCTCAACCGCATGAGTTTCGAGTTCTCAAGGGCCAGTGGCTCCCTTCAGTGGCTTTGGGTTCACCTGAGCTAACCCTGAACGTCTGGATTCCTGCACAGTTTGGGCCTACGACGCTGGCGGGTGGGCAGGTGGAAAAGCCAGGAGCACGAGGCTGCTGACCTTGCAGCGGGTCATAATGGCGGCCAGGTGTCTCCATGGTGACCTCTCTGAGCCATGAGGTCGGAACTGTGGGATTAGTGACATCCCACGACTGGAGCAACCATAGTGCAGAGAACAGCTTTGACTGCTGTAAGTAATCCCCAAACCTCGCATTTAGATGTAAAAAGTGTAGAAACTTAATCCGTACTGAGGAACAAATTAGCATGATACTGGAAGGAAAGTGTTTCTCCGGGAGATCAGGGAGGTGCCCTTAGCTCTCCTGTCTCCCAGAGTCACCACAGTCATACTCTAAGAGGAAGGAAAAGGTCAGAGAAAATGGCTCTGAGAACCTGCTACACAAACCAAGGATGAAAGAATGAGAATTCCATGATTGCTCACTGTTCCTTGGTATTTACCCCTTCACCTTCAAAAATCCCCTAAATGCTTAAAATCAGTAAAACAATTTCCACCTGCCTTAAATTAGCTGGTGACTGCCTCCATGTGCTTCAAAAAGCATCACTTGTTTAGAGTTGCCCAAAAGAATGTAGGTTATTATCCTAATGATCTCACAGCCATTTTGAAACAGTCAGCAATGAGTCTGTATTTCATTTAGGTGGTTCCGGGAGAAACTTTCCAGGACCCATGCATGAGCACAGCTGTTTTTCCTGATCAGGATCCTTGCAGCACCCAAGTGAGTCGGTCTATAAGTATCAGAAAGATTTTGCTCTGTCTCTGGCCACTGCTAATTCTGGTGTATATTCCCTTTATGACGAAAAGCTCCTACTGTTTTCTCCTACAGTTATGATATTTGTTTCTTGATCATTTCACCTTCTATTCACCAATTAATTGAAATCCAATCCACTAGAATTTTCTTTCTTTCCTATTGAAAAAAGGTGCTTTTTTTTAAAGTTTTTTTTTTAATTATTTCAGAATATTACAAATGTTTAGGTTATATATATTGCCTTTGCCCCACCCAAGGCAGAGCTACAAGCGTGTCCATCCCCCAAACGGTGTGCACTGCACCCATTAGGTGTGCATATACCCATCTCCTCCTCCCCCCAGCGTGATTCATAGCGGCTTGAATTTCTCAAATCTCAAGATGTTCTGCATAAAATCTTTAGAGTTTCTGTTTTGGCTTCTACACATGATGGTTGTATCCTCTCAGAGGGTGAATACATTTTATCTTTGTTTTCAGAGATCTCTAGTCAAGTAAATGAGGGAAAATATAATTCATTTTCATTGTGGGAAAACTAAGTCATTAAGTAGTCAAAAAACTACTTAATGAATCACCATCTACTTAACTAGAACTCCTAGAACTTAATCTCCTAACTAAGGGTAAACAGGCCAAAATGTCATTTTACAGAGAAAATTATTAGATACAGGGGACTTGTCTAATGGGAATGCCTTTATAATATATATAAAAGCTTAGTTTAGATTTTCATAAACAGTTTTGCTTTGTGCTGTCACTTAAGAGTTCATGCATCTGTATGTTGGAACCCCAACGGCTAGTATGAGAGACAGTTTGTGTTGGAGCACTGTGTTAGCTTTCCAGGAGAGTTAATCCCCTGGAACACAGTTATAAACCTCCAAGAGAAAAATACCTAAGTGGCCAGATAATTGTCAGAGATTAATGCATGCTGTTCTACAGGAAATACACTCGGCTCTCTGTGCCAAGATCCTATACCCTTGTGCTTCGTTCTTATGCACTTGGTCATCTGGTTTCCAAAGCATACAGCTGACAAGTGGAGACAGCTGTCATTTTATATATTGGCCGCTAAAATAAGTGACAACTGACTAACAAGGGAAATAAGAGAAAAAAAAAATACTTCTAAAAACCAGGCAGAAATAGAAGAGCTGAAATCCCAGAGATCCAGAGCATTTTCATCTCAGGTCAGGCCATCCTAAGTGGCCTCTGTGGTCGTTGCTCTGTTACAACACAGGGTGGTGGTAACTGGCTTGATGATGCTGAAATGTTGCAGCTGGGGAGATCCCCTGGGGGTGTTGTCCAACTCTCCCAACTCCCCGCTGAGGGCACAGGGGCCTCAGAAAGCACTGAGAGCCCGGTTCAGGATCACGGCTGGTTAGTGGTGCAGCTGCAACTGGGGCCAGGTCTCTTGACCCCAAGGCCCAACTCTTGCCCTATACACTCCACCTCAAAAAGGTGAAAATAACCCAGTATTTCAAAAGGTTGCAAAAGACCATGAAGGATGTAATAAATGTTTAAAGTGTTTTCATTGGTCAAATGAGAATTCAGTGACATAAAATATAAGAGGTTATCACTTAAACAGAAAGATCAAAATCTTGGTAGCTATTCTCATGAAATAAAAATCTGATACAGAAAAAAAAAAACTGAGCATTTTAATATAAATCTTTTAAATACCTTTGCCAGAAAATTTTCATGAAGAAATACATTGCTGGATCTCAGAAAGGTCTCCCCTGAGCACACTAGTAAATACCCTAGCACTTTCTATCTCCTTACCTAGATTAGGTTAGTATGCTTTATAATCTATCACCATATCAAATTAAATATATATATTAACATAATGTTTCCTCTAAATTTTCTCCTAAAGTTAACAGCTTAAATACTATGATTTTTCATCTAGTTTTTAAATAGAATAGTCCTCCTCTTTCCTCAGAAAAGATTTAGCCCTTAATCTGAAAACTACTAAATAAATCAATTCATACGGGCCAAGTCCCTTGTATAACAGGAGTCTTTGCAAACTGTGTCTAATCGGCTTCCGTAATAACATGATAGGGTCACTTTATAGTGATGTTTAGGGGCAAGTACCAGAATTCCTATTTTGAGGTGTATTCTATGCAGATTTTCTCTCTATAGTTATGTTTCAAGAAAAAGTGCTTGGCCTATCATGTAACTGAATCCTGTAACACAAGCATTTACATCCCATGGGTCCAATATCACTCTGATTTTACACAGCAGATAGACCTTAAAACACCTTCCTACTCTCCCCACTCCCTCCCCACATTCTTTAAAAGGGCAGGGGCTATTATCTCTCTGAATAATCAAACAAAAACTTAAATATAGGGCCGGGGCGTGGTGGCTCACGCCTGTAATCCTAGTTCTCTGGGAGGCCAAGGAAGGTGGATTGCTTGAGGTCAGGAGTTCAAAACCAGCCTGAGCAAGAGCGAGACCCTGTCTCTACTATAAATAGAAAGAAATTAATTGGCCAACTAATATATATAGAAAAAATTAGCCAGGCATGGTGGTGCATGCCTGTAGTCCCAACTGCTCGGGAGGCTGAGGCAGGAGGATTGCTTGAGCCCAGGAGTTTGAGGTTGTTGTGAGCTAGGCTGATGCCACGGCACTCACTCTAGCCTGGGCAACAAAGTGAGACTCTGTCTCAAAAAAAAAAAACAAAAAAAAACTTAAGTATAAACAAAACTAATTAGATAAATCCTTAGATTAAGATGACAAAAGAACTGGTCTTTTGATATCTTAGTTCCATCTAATTTCTTTAAATGATCACTTAAATTTCTGTATTATTAAAGCAAAGTTTCTGAGAGATAGAGAAATAGATTAGATGGTAAGAGAGCCGAATGGTTGAAGAAAATTTAGAGAAAAATAGTTATTTACTTGGCAGCAAGCAAATCCTACTACTTGCAATGCATAAGAAAAAATGAACACAAAAGCAACTCCCTTGATCTAAGATTTTTGTGTAATTGACTTTTTCTTATCATGTGTGCCTACTTGTTCATCCAACTATCTTTGCATTCATTAGAGGATTCGTAAGTGTAAAAGAAACCTTTGCAATCAGATATCAAAAGGGAATTAGAATTTAAATGCCTATGGTTAAAATAAAACTACAAGTTTCCTCTTATGATTGTATTTGGATTATAAACTGGAAACTAGAAACCTCCTGGGCCTGACCTCTAAGTGTCTTGTTGTAGGGGTGGGGGCAGGGGCTGAATCTTTGGCTCTGTCTTCCCAAGGTGACGTCATCCATTCCCAGAGCTTTGAGTGCCATGAAAGTGATGACTCAACGTTGCCAGCCCTGCCCTCTTCCTGGGCTCAGTCCCCTCTATCCACCCACTGGACAGCACTATGTGGCTATCTACTGGGCACTTGAAACAAGCCACGAGGGAACCCCAGCTTTTGTCGTCTTCTCTTCAGACCTTATCCCAAACACCTCCTTCTCATCTCAGTGGCATCACCAGTTATACAGACTGAAAACCTAGGCATCCTTGATTTCTCTTGACCTCACCCCAACCCCTGCCACCATCAAAGGAGGATCCACCATGAAGCTCATGAAGCTCATGAAACTTAAGCTTCAGGGCCCCTCCCTTGCTCAGGACCTGATCAATGTCCTCTATCTCATTTTGCGTTCGGTTTATTTTTCTTACAGAAGGCTCCCCAATTGTATAAGTTTCAGATCCCACCAAACTCGGATCTGCCTCTGCACCCTACATCCAGCTCTATTTCCAAGAGAAAAATATCTAAACCTGACCACCTGGGACACTGCTGATTGCTCCCACTACAGTCCAAGTTTTTGTCTTCTCTGGAGTACTGCAACGGCCTCCTAACCCTCCTGCAGCTTCCTCACCTTCTCTCCTACTGTATGTTTTCCATATAGCAGCTATATGATCGCTTAAAGCTATTTTTCAGGTCCTGTCTCTTACTTAACCCCCAATGGCTTCCCCTTTGCCTTATAACAAGCCACACCACTGAACTGTCAGGCTACCCTAGCAGCAGAACGCACTGCTGAGCTCTGGCAGTGCCCTGGATGACCTGGCCTCTGTTCACCTCCCAGGCCTCTCCCTCCTTGCCTGCTGCCCTCCGGCTATACTCTTCTTTCCTTCCTAGAATGCACCTGGCTCTTGTTTGCCTTAGAGCTTCTGTCTTGTTTCCTCTGCTTGGGGGAATCTCCTCCATATCTTCACTTGCCTTTGTCACCTGCCCTCAGAAGATTGTGTCTCTAAAGTAGCACCCCACCCCCACTCCTGTCACTCTTGATCCCATTATCCTCTCTTTTCACTTATTACTATATGTAATTATGCTACCTTCTTCCTTTACTTATCATCTGACTTCTTTAAAAGATGGGAACCCTGGTCACAGGTGTGCCACTGAATCCCCACTACCTGGCAGTGCCCAGCGCAGAGAAAGTACCCAATAAATATTTTTTAAACAAATGAATGAATGAAATGCTCATTAAATAAATACTACTTCAGTTAAATGTGGCATCAAGCAGTATTACACACAGGGTGGAATTGAAGAACATGAACTATTATGAAGTCCCTTTTGTTTCTTCCTCATTTAACTGTAGACTGATCAAAAGCTATACTGAGAGTAGCTGCAAACTGCAGATGTGGACTGATGTCACAATTAACACTCCACTGTGTATGTCATCATAATGCCTGGGGTAAAAGGTGTATGTCATTGTGTCCAAACTGTAAGGTACTTGCTATAAATAGCAAAAAGATAGGAGGAAAAATCTATAGGCTGCATCATATCTTAATCTTCCCAGATACTGGTTTAGGAATGCTTAGAGATAGACCAACTTATTGAAGTGGGGGGGAACGGGAGAATTAAAAAAAAATAGAAATGCTTAAAGGCTTGAAGGTAAAGCATGTTATTACCCGTGTATTCTGAACTCAGATAAACATACTGTGAACAATGAAAAAAAAATCAGTAATTAGAGTCTGGATCAATCTCCCTAAGATCTCTAAGGAAAAGTGTTTT